ATCTGACCTTTTTTCCGTGTACCTGCGGATATCAGGTACATACTATAACTTAAGGCCCCTTATAAGCAGCGAATTCAAGTGCTCTCGCTTTCAGATTTGCCGATTTTGTTGGCATAGGATCCGCACGGATGAGAACAAGCTGTGTCCGGCATGCCGCAAGGAGTACCCTGAGAATCCAGCTGACTTTAAGCCTTTGTCACAGGAAGAAGTAAGTTGGTGTCACCTGCTATTTCTTCCACTAACTTGTACTGTTCCTTAGATGATTGCCTTCAAGTCCCAGAAACGCCAAAGGGACCAACAACGAAAACAAAAGATCACCGAGAACCGAAAACATTTGGCCAACGTTCGCGTGGTCCAAAAGAACTTGGTGTTCGTTGTGGGCCTACCACCTCGACTTGCTGATGCAGACGTATGTTGATTTTCCACTAGAGCTAACCGACTGCTCCCACTCACAATTGTCATTTCAGATATTAAAAAAACACGAGTATTTCGGTAAATATGGGAAAATTCATAAAGTCGTTATAAATCCAAGTACCACGTATGCCGGGGTCCAGGTAAGAGTTGTAAGATTCAATTATTTATTACCTCTATACATTTATATGGCCCAATGGGTCAATACCCGAGTTGCTTAGTCATTTTTAGGTGGTTTCTATGAAAACTTTGATAATGGCACGTTTTCAATGAAACTGAACAGATTTACAAATTTACCAAAATTTATTTTCGATTAAAATGAATTTGAACCTTTTGTTGTTAGCTGCCCTGGTAAGCGAACATCGTTTTTTAATACAATTTTATTTTGTAACCTTTTTATTAATATATATATATATTTTTTATATTTTAGGCAAAATTGTGTTCAAATGCAAACATTGCATTTTTGCATTCTTCTTGAAAATGGGTCAGAATTTACGTTCTGTTTCCGTGCTTACGCTAAAAACAAATTTTAAGCAATTTTGATGAGCCTATTTTAGAATTACATCCATTTTTTTTATAAAAAGCAAAAATCGCAACATTTGATCAACCTGCTTTCTCAAAAACTGCGAGGGTATCAGAGTTTTCGGTCCACCGAATCGCGTTTCCTACACTGCCATCATTGCTTAATCCAATTTCTCGATTTAAAGGGTCCATCTGCTTCTGCCTATGTCACTTATGTTAATAACTCGGATGCCTTGCGGGCCATTCAAAGCGTCAATAACATTATGATAGACGGGCGGCTCATAAAGACCAGCTTGGGGACAACTAAATACTGTAGCCACTTCATGAAGAACCAGCAGTGTCCCAAGGGCGACTGCATGTACTTACACGAATTGGGCGACCCCGAGGCCAGTTTCACAAAGGAGGTAAGTTGTGAGATATCTAAATGTGTCCGTATCTAAATGTGCTGCTCTGATATTTAAAGGAAATGCATCAGGGAAAGCACCTGGAGTACGAGAAGCGCCTGCACGATACTCTAATTGCCTCATTCGGACCGAATACAACAGGTATTGTAAATGGTAACGGAGCTTCTAAAGCAAATGGTAATTTCAGCCAGGGCAAATACTAAATGACTTAATAATGTCTATACCTAACCAGCCGCGATTCCATCGTCAGCGTCATCCTCGTCCTCTGGATCGGGAACAAATGGTTCAAGTGCAGGCAATGCCCAGCAGAAGGAGGCCTGGCCCAGTTTATCGGTCTCGCCCATCAATGGCAAAGAGGCCACTGCCAGTTCGAACAGTTCCAGTGGGAAGAGTAAACGGGAGAAGGTGCGCAACGAGAAGAGGCACGAGAAGAACAAGTCGAAGAATAAAAGCGGCGGGAACACAAACGCCAATGCCTCGAACAAGGAGAACTATGTTCCCGAAACGAGAGGCAGCACAAGTACTGAGACATTCGCAGAGGCCACGGCGGATGCACCGGCTTCCACCAAGGCAGAACCGCCGCAAGCCTCTAGCAATCGATCGAGGGTGGAGCGCGTAAAAGATAGGGCCTCCAATCATGCGGCTGGTGCAAAGGAGCAAAAGAAGGGCAAGGAAGCTGCTCCAGCACCTGCAGCAAATAAACCGGTGGAACGGGTTGAAACGAACGAGAGTACAATAACACAAAAGAAGGCGGAAGTAACCGATAGCTGTGAAGATAACTTACCGCAAAAGCGATTAGCGGAAACAAACGTTCAAAGATCTGTGAGCTCTTGTAGCGAAACTAGCGAAGGACACGTCTCTGAGAGTAGCTTAAGTGAAAAGAGTTTACCTGGTGATTATGCGGAGGAGAAGTGCAATAGTGTGAATTCTGAAAGCCAGCAAGAAAGTGTGAAGTCTCAGGAGGAGCTCGAAAAGAGCAACGAGGCTATTGTCGAGGCTGAAACGGTTCTGCCAGCAGCTGAATCCTCTGAGGATATCAGCCCCGCTGCAGTGGCGCCTAGCAATGGAAAAGATGAAGGATGCTTACCCGTAGATCCAGCCGAACCATCGAGTCTGGCGGATAATGGAAGCAGAGTAACTGGTATTGTAGCTCATCCCAATAGTCTGCCATCCTTTTAGTAACACTTCCAGTTGCAGATGCGCTGTCTAAGCTCAACATTTTCGATGACACGCCCAGCTTTTTCACATCGCCATCATTCCAGCAAGCCCCCATTTTAAAGAATAAGATAGATTTGGAAATGCGACAGTCTCATTTACCAGACTTGGTCAACGGTAAGTGACGAATCTTTGAAGAAAATGAAATTAAATTGGTTTGAAAGATTTCCGACAAGGGTTCTATGTAGGTTTTTATCTTTAATTTAAATGTCATTAATTGAAACATTTTCGCATTTTTCGGTACTGATCGGTAAATCAACGGATTTAAACAGACATTGATGGAATCCAAAAGGCATCCAATACAAATGGTAATAAATTATTTGCATAATATTAGTGTATCATTCAACTAATTCAAATTTATTATTAATTTATCCATTTTTTGTGAAAACAGAGTGGGAAGAAGCCTTCAAAAATGTGATGATGCGCAACACTAGGCACGTGGAGGAGCAACTGCTTCAGCAGCAACAATTGCAACAGCAGCAGAAGCATCACCACCAGCAAGTATTGCATCAACAGGAGGAGTTCCTACGCATGCACGAATTACAGAAACGCAACAACTTTGCGACGCAAATCAACGGTCCTGCGAATGGTAAGTAATTTGTTCTTAAGGTGTAACACAACTTAAACTAACCAATAATTTCTTTTAGATTTCCTTAGCCATTTACAGGCGAACTCGCTCGATTTGAATAGAGCGCAAGCCCATGCAATCCTTCAGCAACAATTATTACAGCAGCAAGCAGGGGAAAATCTATTTGGCGGTAACATGTCGAAGTTCTTTGATTTCCATAAAAATCAGCAGCAGTCACACCATCCGTATATAAATGGACATCCACCACAAATCAATGGAAATAGTGCTGTGCCGGAACCCCAAAGAGTCGCGGCCCCTTTGGAAAGCAATCGACTGAATTCGCCTTTTGTCGAAAATGGTAAGTTATACTTTTCAGTACAAATTCTTTCCAGCCCTCAATAATGATATTACCCTTAAATTCGTAGGACTTATTAATTCGCAGCAGCAGCAACAAAAGCAGAGGATGATGGGAATGTATGAATTTATGGTAATGATTTCATATGGATATTATATGCCAACATGCCAATAATACATTCGTCCCTATTTTTCAGCCTCCAAACACGCAATCTCAGCAGAATCGGTTCACACAGAACTCGATAGTCGACGATGACTTAGGTAAGACGTTGTTAATATTGCACTACTGAGCCTTTTCACTAATTGTGTTTGTTAAAAGGATTCGACCCCTTTGTTGAAACCCAAAAGGGACTTGCTGAACTTATGGAAAATGAGGTTGTCCAACAACAGAGTATTAATATAGAAAACCCCTTGCCGAAGTTGCCGCCACAGCCTCAAGTTCTCCCACATCAGCAACTGGTGGACAACCTGCACCGAGCTCGGATGCCGCCACCAGGCTTTAATCACGTCAACGCATTGGGCTTGGGCGGAGCATCCAGACTGCAGCACACCAGCAAAATAATGCCCTTCATGAACATGCCCGTCAATGGAGTGGGAAACAACGGTGCCCAAGGACAGCACCAAATACCAATGGGTGTCAACTGGAACGCACCCTTGGGCATGCACCAAAACGCGGGACAGCCTGTGGGTGACTCGCAATTGCAGCATCCAATGGCTCACAACAAGGGTAAGTAATCGAAATAGTTATAGCCGTTACACTAGAGAGAATTTTACAACGTTTGGCGTAACTAATGTTTTGTATTCCTAATAGTTTACAACAATAGTGATTGGACTTCAATGGATCCGGCTATACTTTCGTTTAGACAGTTTTCTTCTTTTCCACAAAACCAAATTCCCCCACATCCTCAGCAACAACAGGATTTATTTTTGCAGCATTTGGCTCAACAGCAAAATTCCCAGAGTGGTGGTAAGTGCACTTAAGAGTTTACAAGTCAGCAGTCGATTAAAATGCATCATTTTGTGCACTTCCAGGTTTCAACAACCAGCCACAGCAACTGCTTCCTATGGGGATGCCCAATAATTTGCTGAACGGACAACAAACGCAGCCGCCACAGGTCAATGCCAATGTTCAGGGCATGCTTGAGTTTTTAAAAAGCCGTCAATTCGTTTAGCTACAATACATATAAATAATACATTTGTTTACCTGTACTCTTTATTAAATATTTCTTAAAGTAAATATAGGCAAAATAAAATTCGAATATAATGAAACAACATGATACTAAAGACGGTCCAGTGAAATTCAGGATACTAATGCATTTGTGCAGCAAGCGAAGCACTTGGATCTCGTCTCTACGTGCCGGACGCGTCCACATGAATCCAATTGTAGTATCCAAAAAGTCTTTTCTGCTTGGCAATAGTTCACCTCCCAGTGATTTTTTTTAAACTTGAAACCAACTCATTCCAATTGCTCGCTGGATAAAAGACAGATTACCATGGCAATAAGTAGCAAAGAAAACCTCGTGATGTGAAATTATCGAGACTGTATAAAAATGTCAACTTTTTAATAATAAATACGTGACTTGAAATGGTTGAAAAGAATTTATTACTACGATCCAAACAACTATTTCCTATTCTTGGCAGCGTGGGGCAGGCGATTCCCTTGTCCACCAGCTCCTCCCAGGCGCATCGCGTTGTTTGCAGGCCCTCCGTATCCCTGGCCAGGACGATTGCCGACATTATTTCGATTTCCACCACCAGGGCGCCCGCCGCGCTGATTTTGCGACGAGTTGCCGCCACGGTTTTTGTTCATCTCTGTGCGATTCCTCGACTTGGCCTGCGCATCCTCCTTGACCATGTCGATTACTTCGTCAGGAATTCGCAGATATTTGATGGTGCTCCCACGGATATAACATTCCGGCATGCGCCAAAACCGATCGCCATCCTGCAAAGTATATATCACTATAAACAAGCTATTCATGTTATCATTTTTCCGGCTGTATGTATATACAAGTTTTTCCATATTTTTAACACCGGCAATTTATATTACCTTTGAGGTGCAAATAACATCGCGCAGATTAATATTCATCCATGAGTCGCAACTGACTAGGTGACCATTGTATGTTTCACCATTTTTCAGCTCCACCAACTGTAAATTTTGAATAAACAAATATATGTATTACTGAAATAGCCAAATGCAAACATCTTACCATGGGATGGCTCTGTGCTGTTTTTAAAAGTGACAGTGGCAGCTAAAACACATGAAAATGAATAATTTTGCCCTTTATTTACCTTGAAATAATATTGCTTACCATTTTCGTGAAGTAATCGATTAATACAGCGATAGCCGGAAATCGATAGAGATTAACTATCACTTAGTGGGAATGAAACGAATATGAAACATGTATATATCTAAACAGGGTGTTCGTTTTTGTATTCTCTGTAAATGAATAACAATTTTGAACGGAAGCCTGTGAAATCGCTTAAGCAGTATAGGATAGAATAATTATTGCATAAAATAATTTATTTTATAATAAACTTATGCTTGAAAGTAAATGAATACCCAAAAAGTATTCGAAAACACAAGTAAAGATTTTGCTATATTGGTTGTATTAATTTACTAAGTGGACAACAAAACATGTAACTTATTTTAAGGCCAACCGGCTTTGCAATGACTGCAATTCATTTAGTAGAAGAGCAATATTATAGCGCACTTGTTGAAACATAGACAGTGGCAATTCTAGAGTTCGATATTCCTTATTTTGGAGCTTGAAGTGGAGGACTATTGTAGGTTTGTCAATTTGCACGGTACTAAAACATAAAGTTGTTTTACACATATGTACATAAAATAGCAAACAGTTTGTATGCATATGTACTCACTTTAACGATAAGGAAATGTTAATTCTCCATTGCAATTTTGACATTTTGACACGGTCCATTTTAGTGTCAGAAAAGTTCTTGCTCAATATGTCTCGATGGTTTAGCAAAACTTTGCAAATATCATCTACGTATTCTTCTGTTAAACTGGTACAAGATTAACAACCATATTAGTAACGATCAAGATTTACATATAACATATAAATATGAATACTTGCTTTAAATCGTCCATTAAACATTTACGCAGCTCATGATGCTTCACCACGCCCTTAGGATATCTTAAAAAGATTTGCATCATCAAGAATATCATAGTGAAAAGTTCACAAAAGTTTGGAGGAATTTTGTGTCCTCCATTTGTTAGTTTATTTAGTGCTAGGGAAAGCACTTCCGAAGAAGACTTCTTTGATTCGATGTAGTGCACAGACACTTGAATAAGGACACGCAACATGGACTTAGTCAATTGCGGAGTAAATGGAGTGTATGGCTTAACACTCTTTAACAGATTATATCTAAACGAAGACGACATGATGCATATTCACAAATATTTTGTACAAAAACATAAACAATCTAGGAATGGGAAATTTTCGATATTAGGATTTTCGGAGCCTACAATCGATATTAATCGTACTGTTTTTTAAAATTAAATGAAATGGAATAAATATTTAAATAATTCAAATTAATATCCCAAATACATCCACATATGATTTTAGATATTAGTATTAGTGAATGTGCCATTTTTCCGTTTTAAGTACAGAGCATATCCGTTAACCATTTTGTTAAAAGTTCTTAATAATTTAGTTGCTTATATACTATTGAAAAGTTTGAGTAACCACTGCCAGTTAGTTTAAAAAACTACTAACCAGGCTAATGTCATAAGTGTTGGGAACAGTTTACTGTCTCATTAAAAATGTATGATCTAATTTTACCTGCCAATCATAGCTACACTTTGAACCATTTCAATTAAATTACTTCTGACTAAAGGGTATAAATGCTCTTTAGCTTTTTGCTTAGCAAATTATAAGCCAATTACACTAAGCAATTACCACTTGCAATTCGGGCAGTCAATCAAACAAAACGCTTTACTATAAAATGGTATAAAATGTGCAGAAGGGTAAACAATTGTAATATGAATCTCTCAATCTGTGTGTTTCTTTTAATACTCGCTGCAGGCGATGCTGAAATAATTCAGAGTATGGAAGTATCCGTTCTAACCAATTTTGTTGCAAGCCTAGTCAAAACCAAGCAAGCAATAGTGTTTTCATGTTCACTTAAAGGTAAGAAAAGGCAAAGCTACAAAAAAGATCCACATGATATCAATATATTTATTTATTTATTATTAGATTTTAAAGAAATATCTCTTGGATTGATGGGATTTAATCAATTCGTGAGCATAGTTAACCTTAACCAAACCTATTCCCTAACATCCATATTGACGAGGAATAATTACGCTCGAACTTCAGTTCTGGTAAATGCCAGATGCAGTGGATCATCTGAACTTCTTTTTAAAGCCTCTGAAACTAGGTATTTCAACAAAACTTACCAGTGGTTCCTCTGGGGTGTTGATCTTGAGGTTCAATCCCTATTTCCTTTAACTCTCAACTATGTTGGTCCCAACGCCCAGATAACCTATGTTAATGAAACAGCAGATGGTTATGCGTATTGGGATATTCATTCAAAAGGACGACACTTAAAATCGCATTTGGAAATACATTTGATAGCAACATTAATAAACGATACCTTAAATATAGTTTGTGATATTTTCCTTTTGCAAAGCATTGATTTTCGCGGACAATTTAACGGAATAACTCTAAGAGGAGCAAGTGTTGTAAGTAATGAGTCGAACCATAACTCAGGAGATTATTGCTATTTATTTTTTCGGTGCTAGATCGACAAAGAGGATATAATCTCGAATGAACAAATTGAATCCATTCTTTCGAGACCAACGAAGGATTCTGGAGTTGCTGCATTTATAAAGTATCACTACGAGCTTCTGGGACTTCTAAGAGAACGTTTTAACTTCACGGTTAATTTTCGGAATTCTAGGGGATGGGCTGGACGGTTGGGCAATACTACCTTTCGACTCGGCCTCTTGGGAATCGTTATGCGAAATGAGGCAGATATTGCCGCATCCGGGGCCTTCAATCGAATTAATCGTTTTGCAGAGTTCGATACAATACACCAGAGTTGGAGATTTGAGACGGCTTTTCTATACCGGTACACTTCCGATTTGGATACTCATGGAAAAAGTGGTAACTTTCTGTCGCCATTCAGCGACAGAGTTTGGTTCTTCTGTCTATTAACCCTTGGTGCTTTTAGCATCATTTGGGTGCTATTTGAAATTATCGACTGCAAGATTTTACGTAAGCAAGATAATTGCCAAAAGCAGGAACATTCGAATCAGAAAAATTCGGGATATGACATTAAAACCACATGCATTGAACGAATTCTGCAGATTTTTGGAGCTTGTTGCCAACAGGGATTGGACCCAAATCCTGTAGATCGTTCTGTCCGCTTTTTGGTAATGACTCTATTCCTATTCTCCCTGGTTATGTACAACTATTATACCTCTTCTGTGGTGGGCGGATTGCTTAGTTCTTCAGATCAGGGTCCGTCTACAGTCGACGAAATAACAATAAGTCCCTTAAAAATATCATTCGAAGATATTGGTTACTACAAAGTCTTATTCCGAGTAAGTTCATTCAAAAAAGTATTAAATGATATTACCATGCACAATTTATTATTATTTAATTTATTATTTAGGAAAGTCAAAATCGATCTATTACAAGATTAATAGAGAAAAAGCTGTCTTCGTCAAGACGTTTAAATGAATTGCCGATCTTTAGCCATATTGAGGATGCTGTTCCATTTTTAAAATCAGGCGGTTTCGCTTTTCATTGTGAAGTCGTGGACGCCTATCCGGTTATTGCAGAATTTTTCGATGCCAACGAGATCTGTGATTTGCGTGAAGTCTCCGGTCTAATGGAAGTTGAAATAATGAATTGGATTTTACACAAGAACAGCCAGTATACCGAAATTTTCAAAACAGCGTAAGTTACGATTTTTAAGCATGCTGGCATATGAACCAAAAGGAATCGATTTTTTTATTCAAATAGTTTTGTATATATTGTATAATTGTAATTAAAATTATATTTTGTAGTATGTGTAATGCTCAGGAAAAAGGTTTTGTGGAACGAATACTTCGACGGCGGCAAATCAAAAAACCAACTTGTCAATCATTATACACCGTTTATCCTGTAAGCTTGTCAGGAGTGCTTCCTGGATTTGTAATTTTAATTTGTAAGAATATTAACAAATTTTACTAGAATTTACATATTTATCAATTTTTGTATGCCGTAGGCGGATTTGGAGTATCGCTTCTACTTTTGTGTATGGAGAAACTTTATGCGCATTTCGGATTACGAAAATGGTGCGGGTTTTAAATTTGTATTTGTTATTTTTTATTATAAAATTTTTAATATTAAAAAATGTATTCTAAATAAGTCTGGCGTTTACTAAATTGTTCCAGCTTTATCCCAATCTATGTTCTTATCCACGCGTTCCAAACTAGTTTATAATTCGAAAAATAAAAATATCTGAACTCCAAATGCAGCCCTGCGCCTAATTTTTCAACTTCCTGTCACGCTGTATGTGTGTTCTTTCTTTCCTTTGATTCTGTTGCCGAAGCAAGGTAAGTTTTTGGTCTTGTTACATTTTAAGCATCGTTTAAGTAAAAATAAACACACAAATGCAAACATATAGTAGTCTGAAACACTTGTAAACGTTTACTGGTGAAATACATGACACTTTTTGATTGAACAATGACAATGGTTGCAGTGCACATGTAAAATTGACGAGCAATTAAAATTGCTAAAGAAAACACCTGTGAAAAAAAATATTGTGAAATTTAAATTTATACATTAAGGTAAGTGAACTTCCGCGTGATTAGTTATCTGTGGATGGCCACACAGGCTTCCTCAGGAAACATTTCGCATACCCACTTCTTCCACATGTTATTAACCACATGAATGTATTTCAGAACTGGTCACCAGAATTAACAAGTAACCATGCCGCAGAATGAGTATATGGAACGCCATCGCAAGCTGTATGGCCGGCGACTGGATTACGAGGAGCGGAAACGCAAGAAGGAAGCGCGTCTTCCCAAGGACCGAGCACGCAAGGCTCGCAAGTTGCGCGGCATTAAGGCCAAACTCTTCAATAAGGAGCGACGCAATGAAAAGATTCAGATTAAAAAGAAGATCCAGGCCCACGAAGAGAAGAAGGTCAAGAAGCAGGAGGAGAAGGTCGAGGATGGAGCCCTGCCACATTATCTGCTCGACAGAGGCATCCAGTCCAGCGCCAAGGTCCTGTCCAATATGATCAAGCAGAAGCGCAAGGAGAAGGCAGGCAAGTGGGACGTGCCCATTCCAAAAGTACGCGCCCAGTCGGATGCAGAGGTCTTTAAAGTGCTGAAGACCGGCAAGACAAAGCGGAAGGCGTGGAAGCGCATGGTCACA